GTCGATGGTGCACACTCGGTAAGTAATCCTACAATTTTTTGTTTATAGCGTAGTTTATACGGATTATTCCAAAAAAAAATATACGTATTTTGGAAATGTTGAGTCGGATTAGTCTAGAATCGATTAATTTTATGGAAGAAAATCTTTCAAACTACCGTAGTCCGTAAACTTGACACGTGTCGGGTTGTGATTGGAAGGATTCGTAAGAAATCGGATTCCTAAAGAATGGAACGTATCTCTCTCTATCTTATAGGGGGTCGACTGTAGTTCATAGTCGAAAGTAGAATATGGTGATACCTTGTCTTAATAACCCAATTTTAATTCACAAAATCATTTTTAACACACAAAAACATGCAAATCACTTGTAGCAAGTGATTTGCTCAATTTTCAGCAAGTGGCTGGGCTTATTCAAAGGAATATGCAAAAGATATTTTCATTTTTCATAAATCATAAATTATATATACAGTATAAGCAAAACTCATCACTATGGCGTCTATTCAGTTTCTCGAATACAGTGAATTATGCCGAAAGCTTTGTGGAGTCAATGCTTCGCGGCATAAATTTTTACGCCGCCGAAATCTCCGAAATGCAGGCGTGCAGCCGCAGTATCGCCATTTTCCTCCCTAAACAGTGCAAGGAATTCGCTTATTTCTAATAAAATAATATATATATATAAATTTTTTCCGGTTATTAAAAAAACCGACGAGATTTTTTCACGAGAGGCGGCGCTGAATACGAAATCGTCCAGCAACAGTCTAACAAAAAATCATCTTCTCAACATCAGCGACTGCCTCCAATTATACCCGAAAGACGTCTGCCTCCATTCCTTATCGACCTTTTTTAATGAATACAAAAATACCTACAACTACTAAATCATTTTGACTTTCCTCATCACTCCTTTTAACTGCCAACGGTCGACTAACAGTCAACTCATCCACCCCGACATGTGTACTGATTTTTCCAANTGCCTCCAATCCTTATCGACCTTTTTTAATGAATACAAAAATACCTACAACTACTAAATCATTTTGACTTTCCTCATCACTCCTTTTAACTGCCAACGGTCGACCAACAGTCAACTCATCCACCCCGACATGTGTACTGATTTTTCCAATCGTCTCTTCTAGTCTTTTCAAGTTTTCTCAACTGTAGATCACCATCTGTTTCACAACCCAACTCCACTCACCTGGAATAACTTCTACACGGGGCGAAATAGCCAAAGCAGCTAACGCCTAACTTCACCGCCAGAGGGCGGCAAGCAAGCCGTTTTGCTGACGTGCGGCTAAATATCCAGATGGCACAAAACGCTGATTGGTCAGTTGAATGACGTCAACCCACCGAAGTATAGATTATATTTTGTGGTCGTCAGAATGAATCATGATGAAATATTAATAGATTACTTTTTTTAGTTGTCGTAATATGAAGTGATGAGTATAAATTGTTTACACATAATATGTGTCAACAATTTTATATCATTGTATTCTATATACTAGCTCAGGCATAGTCAACATGGTCAACAACATCTAATGAATTTGTGGCCCGCAATCAATCTTTCAATATTAGCTACTGAAGTCTGAATAGCTCAATAAAAAATTTTGACACCTAAAAGAAAAAAAAAAGATAAAAAAGGTCAACAACTCACTGTACATTTAGAGTTAACCCTCCATTACAAATCTCGTAAGTACAGCATAGAATGTTGATAAAAGCATGATAATGTGAAAAATGTATCCATAATCTCTATGTACAATTTAGTCTCTACGGGGTGACACCACAATGAGATCTCACACCACCTCAAAATCTTCCTAGGGCAGCCTCTGGTTCGGCCCGTGGGAAAAGTTTTCTTTCCAATTCGGCTCGGGTGCAAAAAACTGTTGGCCACCCCTGTACTAGCTGTACCCGGCCATGTGTTGCTGTGGCTCAAAATGTATCTATTATAAATGTATAACACTCTCCATGGGAAGGAATTTTGAATCCCTTCTTAGTGTACAGTACATTCTCTTGACGTACCCTATTAAAACGCAATCAAAAACGTAAAAAACCACATCTAAAATAGTATAATAGAAGCAGAGTGCTTCACGGTAAGCCTTAATTTTGTCCCTCTCCCCCATGGGGGAATTTTGACATCTATATAATATACAAGTTTGGACATGTGCACTGCATATCTTGCCGACTATGCGACTGCGCCGTGTCGTTACCTATCTTGTATACGTATGCGTCTTGCCCCACCACCACCCACTGACACCAAAAATATAACACTTACCTAGATGATATCTTTTAATTTATATGAATGCTTAGGAATGCATCTGGCACAAAAGATATTCGTTATTTTAAGCGACAACAAATAGGAAATGTTCAGGACGTGCACTGCATATCTCATCGACCACATGTCTGCGCCGTGCGATTACCTATCATGTATACATATGCGTTTTGCCTCTCTGCCACTCGCTGACACCAAAATATAATGCTTACCTAGATGAATGTTTAATGGAATAATATACAGCCTATGTCCATTCTGAAGTTCCATTCTAAATATTGGTGAAAGAATTTTTGAAATTGGATGAGTAGTTTTGGAGATTACCTCCTACATCCAAACTTTACCTCTTTATAATATTAATATACATTATATAGTATACAATGGTATAAAATTACTTATAGTATCCTAAAACTCTAGTTATTTATTATTAGTCACTTGTAAGCATTCACTATCCATCAACTGGTCAACTACTAGAGCCACATGGTCATTCACTGGTGATTTTTAAATTTTAAAAACATCATGTCATTAATTTAATCACTATTACAGAAAATTAAAAATTCACTTTCTGAATAAGTAGTGCAAGTCCTTGGTAACCAGCAATGATCATTACTTACGTTAAATGTCTGTTTATTAAGTGATTATATTCAAATCTCCTTATCAAAGTGCTTAATTGGTCATTTACTAGTGCAACTACCCTATATTCTATATTACTGTATTTATCCAAATATAAGGCAGACTTTTTTTTAATCAGTTTTTTTTCACTTTAAAAATGTTCTGTTAATTTGGGGAATTTTTTCACAACTTTTTTCAGAGATGTTGCACCATTCATAAGCATTTCTACCCTCTGTCAGTTTGAACATTCTATCACCAAGTTTTGGGGACGAATTTCTGAGCCATTATCACTTAATTACCAAAATTTAACAAAATATGTCATCAAATAATTTTTGATTGACATCATAAATTGCATCTCTTTTCTCCTCAAAATTAATTTCAAAAGTAGAGGTGTGCTTTATATTTGGATAAATACAGTATTTCTTAAGTTGGTAGGTATTAAGCAGTATTCTAAAAATTATAATTCATACTTATTAACATTTTTATAATATAATATTGTTATAATGTGACTCAATAGGATGATATATAAAAATTCCCTGTACAACTTAACCAGTGATGAGGTGATGGTCAACTAACCCCTGGATGTTGACTTGCAGCAGATTTGTTTGTTTATTTAGTTTAGTTTGTTTAGATTAAAGACTAGTGCTAATATAGGAATTTTTTGCTACCTCACACATGTCGTGTCTGGTGTTTCTTGAATGGCCTTTCTAAGATAGAAGAAATGTATTTTAGGTAACAGAACTGCACAACTATATGGTAACTTAATTCTAAATATCATCCTAGGAAATACTTTTTGTTGGCAATCAAGTAGAATTTTTTTTATTCATGTAGAAATATTTGATTTTTTAGAAAAAAGATAGTTTTATCTAGAGTAATTACAAAATATACACAAATTAGTGCTCTAGAGTAGTGGTACCCAAACTTTTTGATTTTTGATTTTGATACCTGTGATTGGTAGGCCAAATTGCACACATTCACAGGTAGTTGAGCTACAAATATTTTGTTTATGACATACTGTACAAAAAAAAAAATCTACTGTATTTCTATTATTTATGTAATGTCTCAAATATATTTACAGAACAGATTAACATGCCAGGAGCCATAGTTTGGACACCAGTGCTCTAGAGTAAAATAAAAATAAATTAGAAATGATTATAAAATCATTTTACAATATTAAATAATTTTAATACTTTTTTTATGTATGTATGAATAAATATGTAAAAATATTTATTTTATGTCTAGGTCTTGTCAAACTTGGTATCCATTGTGTTACAGGAAACAAAGTAGCCATTAAAATAATTAATAGAGAGAAATTAAGTGATTCGGTGCTACAGAAGGTAAATATTTTCTTGATTAAAAAATTTCTGATTTTTTTAATACTTAAATTCAGTAATGATTTTAAAACTTTTATTATTATTCTAATAAATATAATATAATATAATATAATAATAATTTGTGACATAACTGGAATTATAACTGGAAGTACTTAGATATGAACGTATAAAAACCAGGGCTGCGGAGTTGGTAAAAAAACACTCAACTCTGACAACTCCAACTCCTGATAATTTTAGTATGCTAACTCTGACTCCAGCAAAATTAAATACAAAGTCATTTTATGGGGTAACACCTATGAGGTGCTCATAGGGGTTACCCTACTTAGAACTCTGAAAGGAGCCCTGGACATTTATCCAAAAATTTTTATAATTAGTATTTTTAATATTTAACTTACATTAATATTTATTTGTATAAAAAAATTAATTTTTAACAAATATTTAATAAGAGGAAAAAGGGGAGTGATAAAATTCTACATCTACATATCTTTATTCTAGAGCTTTTGCACTTCAATTTCACCTTTCCAGAAAAGTTAGTCCAACTAAAAAGTGTGCGTCTAGCTATTTCAGCTCCTTGTTCAGAAAATAAAAATATATACTCTGATTAATTAGTCTGGCTCATTCAAAAAAAATAGAGTACTTATTTAGAGCGGGGATAATAAAGGAATGAGTAATAAATATTCAAATTTAATTGGGTCAAAATAATTTAACTACTAAACACAAATACAGTAGAGCATTGATTATCCTAATATCGATAAACCGAAACATCAATTAACCAAAAGTTTTCCAGTTGGCAAATTTAAATTTTTGCTAGTGCTGTGGCACTGCAATCTTTGACTATGTCTTGGGCTACTCCAATATTATTTTTGTTGGCAGAGCCAGCCCTACCATAAGGCGAACGGAGCAGCCGCTCCAGGCGCTAAGTCCTAGGGGTGCCTCAGTGGTAAAGAAAATTAAAAGAAAAAATATTTTTTTCCACTTTTTCGATATTTTAGTTGCAAGCGTGTGGCCAGTATGTAAATGGCCTTATCTGTTGAGACGCGCGTGGGTGGTGTGCGTGGGCGGGGTTCCACTCCTGGGCGCCATAATAGGATCTCGCTCCATTCTAAAACTTGCCTCAGGCCGGCACTGTTTGTTGGTGTGCATGTTTTAGTTGGCAGCACTGGCGTGACCATGAGAGAGTACTTAAGGATGTACCAGGATTTGAATGAATTTCAACATGGGATAGGTTAATATATTTTTTCGTACATAATCGGCTATCTGAAAAATCAATTTTCCGAAAAACCCCAGTTGATTTCGGATAATTGATGCTCTACTGTACTACAAAGAAAACTATTGATACATATTTAATAAATTAAATTGTTGCATTTTGTATTTAAAATAAATGAATTATAACAAAATACCAAAACATTTTTAAAAATTATTAAATATAAAATAAATTTTTTTTCATTTTAAATAAAAAAAACTAAATTAATATTAAAATGCTGGAGTCGAAGTCAACACATTTTTCCTGACTCCAACTCTACAGCCCTGATGTTATGTATTAAGTGAGGAAGTGACAAAATTGAGTTTCATAAGTCTTAACTAAACACAATGATAGAACTGTGGAAGTGACATTTATGAGGATGATAAAAACAAGTAAAGAGTATATTTTGTTTTACTGCGTTCTATGCTATATTCACATATAATAGCATCTTATCAGCAGATTGTTGATATACATACCTATGTATTATTTTTATATTTCTATATAAAAATTGTTGTGCTTGAATAAAGAGTTGTTATATGAATTTATTCAAAGCATTTCAACAAGATATATTCAAAAATAGTTTATAACTGGATGATACAGTGTTAAAATTGGGGTTATCATAATAGTTGAAGAAAAATACGGACAGATTAGCATTAAAAGTACTCAGACAGCAAGGCAAAATAAAGGGAATTTATTCATATTTCTCAATCTAATAAATGTAAATATATAATATAATTTACATTTTTCCTTAGGGCACAGAATGAAATTTTAAATACAGTATAAGAAAACTGTTTTACCACTTAGACAACAAGTACTATTGAATTATAATGAATGAATGTGTGCATGTTCTCTAAGCAACAGAGCCATTACATTTGCTTATATAATGTTGCCACCTAGTCAACAAATACGATAATAATCAACAAGCAATTATTTATTGTGACATTGTTACAATGCTGCTGAACTGAATTTTTGGGCTGCAATTTGAAAAAAATACAGTATTATTTATTCTCTTGAACAGTAATACAAAGAATTGTTTAAGTGAACAGGAAGATAAGACATATAAAATAGAACAGATATTTCTGTTCACAATACCTATCTGTTGTTATTCACAACGTTCTGAATTATCGAAGAATGTCTATATGTTCAATATATATTATAGGGCTCAGATGCAGTCTATAACATCTCTTCAATACAACATATTTGGGAAATTTATTTTGGAATATGTCTTTGGAGATGAAATATTTTACTACATTCTTGAATTTAAATTTTTGTTTATGGCGGGATGGACAACCTTTTTCTATGTGAGGGCTGCATTTCAAAACTTTTGAATTGACGTGGGATGCATACAAGAGAAAAGAGAAAAAAATGTCGATAAATCACAATTATTTATATATAATTAAAAATTATCATAGATATACTTAATTTAGCTTCTGGAACTGATGTAAACATAATATATCAGAAATATTTGGTTAAATATTAGTCATTGCTAGTTTTAAATTAGTTTTGATGTGTCTGTTACCTGGTTTCTTGTTTTAATTTTTACTAAATTCATTGCGGAAAAACTATTAATGTACATAAGTTGTAGAAAATAACGTTTTAAGTTTTGCCACATACTTTCTTAAACTGGGAAATTGATATATTTATTCAAATTTTAAGCTAGTAGCAAAAAATATTATTGCGGGCTGCATGTGCAGGCCCCAGGCCTTTATTTTTAAAACGGGTTGCCCATCCCTATGGCATGAAAGCATCTAAGTTGTTAAAAGGTTAAAAGTATCTTTGCAAGTAGACAGTCCTTTAAATGTTTTTTGAGATATTAAAAGCATAATTTCTGTAGAATTCCAAAAAATGTGTGTCATATTGGATTTCTGTTATTCTGTCTTAAGTGATTAAAAATCTGTTATCTATTGTAAATAAACAAGCTTGCTCAGGGAAGGTATTAATTTTGTTAGATGAAACCTATCCACATACCATCATAATAATTAAAACATGTTTAGTCTTCTAAAAAAAAATGTTTGTGAGAACTTTACTTAAGAACTTTTTACATCAAGGAGAAGGAAATATAATCAAGTAAATACATTATGATGATGATAATTTAGAAAATAATATAATTTTTTTTTCAATTTTTGTAATTTTTTTGTAAAATAATTGTAAATAAATTTTTAGTGGAAGTTATTGTAACCTTCTGCTGAAGAGGGGCAGTAGTCTGAAATGCTGAATAACTAACATACAGATTTGGATTACCATAAATATCTGAAAACTTATTGTTGTTCTCTAGTTTTGTACACTCTCTCTTTGATGTAATAAGTCCTAAAATAAAATAAGGTTCTTTTGAACATTTCTTAGAATATTTAAAATAAAGACAAGAAGCAGTTCACATAATGTTTAGTCACTTTTAGTTGAGAATTATGACTTAGTTATTCCTGAAAATTTTAATAAATTTTGATGATACAGTATAGTATTTTTGTTGAGATTACTCAGTGTGGCCATTGGCCACACTATGAGTAATCTCACATATTGTTGTATATTATTTTCATGTTAGTTGTTAAGTTAGTTGTAATATTTCCTTTCCTTATTTTCTGTCATCTCTCTGCTCTTTGTTCCTGCCAGAACAAACATAATTCACCAAAGTGTGCCAATTGTTTACGAGAAAACAGAGCGCATAACTGTCATAATACAATGGATAAAACTTGTCCAGTATATCTTAAGGAAAAAACCAAATTCCAACAAAGGATTGATTACCATATATAGATGTATGCATAGACTAACTTACATCTTTGTACATCATCAAGTATACTGTTGTATTCTGCATACTTTGATTTATTTGTAATTGTCTGTTTTTCTAAAAATCAAAGGACACATTACTCAACATTAGTGCTGGCCTCAACTTTAGAGAGTTGCTGATTGTTGTGTATTTTTATTGTGATTTGTGAACACGTTTCATGACTATGATAAAATTTGTGTACTCTTTGCTAATAATGTAGCAACTCACCGAGTATGTATGTAGTTGTATAGTTGTATATAGTTATTTATAGTTAAGCCAACTTTGTTTTCTTACATATTGCTTTTTACATTTATGATATTGATATATCCTATGCATTTATTTCCTGTTATGTTACGTTAACAGTTATATATAATATGTATTTATAGTTTAGTATTTTATTGTATGTATATAGTTGTATATAGTATATATTTTATTTTATTTCTTCATCATTAGTCTATTGTTGTATAACAGTGTTTCTCAATCTCTAACGAATCGTTGCTCCCTTCAATAAAACCATTACGTAGTATCGCCCCCTTCACTACAAAATTCCAATGCCTAGGGACAAGGCTAACGGCAAATTCGTACTGCATTGAATAGACTAGTGACTAGTATAATGTTATTTGTTTAATTATTGTACGATAAAATGAATAAAATATCTAATTATTCTTAATATAATATTTTACTATATTGCCCAGAAAATTGTTTTTCGCCAAAATATAAATTGTTACTAATAGCCCTCTGTACATGGAAAAACGCCCACATGGGGTTGATATCGCCCCCGTTGAGAAACACTGGTGTATAACATGCACTTCTGAGCATTGCTATTGTATTGAGTTTAGCCGGTAATGCTTTCTGCAGGGGCCGGCCTGTATATATATATATGTACAATAAATAATAATGAATGAATGAATGAATGCTCTTTGTTCCATTGTTTATCACCTTCCAGGAACTTTCAATTGTGCAGGTGGTGGTGACCTAGATTAGACAATAGAAAGGGAT